CGACTCTCGAAAAACGACTTGCAATCAGCACGACTCTGGCAATGAGGCTGTATATTTCGTTCAGGTATACAGCATAACTGCTACAAGTATCGAACTATTTTGGGGGGGGCTAAAAAGTGCTTAGTTGTTTTTTTGTTTCTGCGGCACAAACGATTATACTACTATCCTCTTTATTTATTCTTCTCTGTAAAGACAAAATGCATGCATATGTACATATGGGTGTTTCCAGCGGAAGGTCCACCACGACAAAAAAATAAAAGTTTTATATCTAACGTATTTACGGGCCGATTTGTCTGCTTTTTAAAGTATATACTGGCTATGTAAGTAGAATCATGTTTGCATAAAATGGTCTTCCAAGGTGGTGCCAAGGTCGAGATATTTCGAAAACCCGTATTTATGGTCCGATTTGGTTCGAATTTGGCGTATGTGGTTGAAACATAATAAATCATAGATTTTTAATAAATTGACCCTGAATTGGCGCTGAAGTCAAAATATAAAGTATATTCTACATAAAATACAAGATTTATTTGCGTTAAAAATTCATTTAAAAGCAATATTAACAAAAATATAACGATGAAAATTTATGTCACGTGACGCCACGCCACGTCACGTTTCACACTTGGCGTTGTAAAATAGAATTGAAACAATTTGCATTAATTCAAAAAACTCTAAAAACAACTAGAATTGCTCCAAATCATATTAAAATAAGTTTCATGAAAATAGCCATCCACAATTCGCAGAGTTTTGCGATTTTGTAAGAAAAGAAAAAATCAACTTCCATTTTTTGTCACGTAACGACACTCTCTTTAAATGCTTATATTTCAGGACCAAGCAGTTCGATTGATTTCATTTTTCGGTTAAATATAGAGCTAATTATGTGCTATACAATGACCCAAAAAAGTTAAAGAAAACAAATGGTATTCCTTTTTTGTATCACATTGAAATCGTACGGGATGCCCATATTTAATCATGTAATTACCTGTGAGTCCTAACGCGTGTGAGCGGTCAAGGTATATGTTTACAAATCAAGGTAAGCGCAAGAGCTAGAAAGGGATACAAACTCTCACGCGCACAAGAGTTTCTGGTAGTTTTTCCCAATCAGCATTAACAAGCTAATAGAAACTCGTCTGTAGAGGCTGTTTCTATAAACGAACTACCTAATATATCTGTGAAATATTGTGTGATTTAACTAGTAGTGTTCTTGCAGGGTAGTAATATGTATAATCTGAATAAATTAAGACTAAGTATCAACCTTTTTCAGCATTCTAACAGCGTTTTGAGTCAAAATATCTCACAATTACAAAAATTTAACTCTCAAAATTTTCTGGGTTAATTATTTGAGTTTTTATCTCTGAATTAAGGCCTAACCTACTGTTGTGTAAACAAACTTATCAGTTTAACCGGTAAACTCTGGGCCTCAGTGTTTCTGTCTTGAAAAGGCTTCTCATGAAAACTATTCGCCGTTCGGAAGCTTCGTAAAATTGTAGGTTTCTCCATCAGGACACACACCACAAATTGGGGAAGCTCGGCCAAACACTTAGCAAAAGTGTAAGCGTCAAAATATTATTATTAAGCTGGTGGAATGATAGTACATTGAGGTAAAGCGATAAGACTCACCTCCATGAAATTATTTATATCATATTCCAAGAGTTTCTCATACAGTGGTACACACTGAGTTTCACGCTCTAAGCTATATGCCCGCTGCAGTGTATAGTCTGTTATATGTTCCAAAATATAGTCAACACAATCGACCACCGCGTCATCCAACTTCAAAACAATAGCTGCCTTCAGCGTTGCATCCACATTGTCGATGGTTATGAGCGTCTTGCCGGTGTAGCAAAATGTTAATAAACGCTCAAAGGTGTCACTGTCTACGTTATTTAATTCAATAACAGGAGTTAAGCCCTTGTCGCTTTTGAATAACTCTTTAAAATATGGACATGCCGCTGATAATATTAAGCGATGTGCTGGAACCCTGTGATAATTGTAATAAAATATTATATGAAATTGTTAAATGCATAAATAAATCAGTGGTAAACTTACATAGCAGTGGGGTTAGACAATTTAAACGTTACATCTATGAGGTCTTGCTGATCGTAGAGCTCCCATATATTATTCAGTAGTTTAAAGATATGGCCATTTACATCGGGATGTAGATGACAGGTATTAATTATTCCCATTTTTAGTGGTATTGAAATTTTCTATTTTGTTTGATTGTAGTTTCGTAGAGCGATAACGACCCGTTGATCAGTGTGCTGAAGATTCCAAATATGTATGGATATTTGCGTTTATGTACCTAAAATGTATAGCCAACACTGGAAACATGCAACATGTAAATATGTAGTTTGTGCTTCTTACAAAGAAAACAATGGAAAACTTTAAATTATATGTTAAAGCTCAAAACGTTTACAAATTATACGAAAATTGCAATTCAATGCACAAATCAATCAACACGATGGCTTCTAAATACATCTGTAGAAATTCCGTTTCGAATTACATTCAACATCGATAATCGAGTTTTTCGATTGGATCGATTAATGTAGAGTTGTAAAATAATCGATATGCATAATAATGTTATGATTCCACCATATTGAAATGCCATTTTCGCTTACCCTCAACTTTATTATTAGTATACTACGCTTATGCTATGGTCATTTCAAAGTATCCGGTGTTATCGCGAATTCCATGTGAACATGTATTACCAAAAAAATATAACGCAAACCAAAGGCAATGTTTCCCTTTTTTGTTTTGCCTGTCGGAGTTGATAAAAATTGATGAAAATTAACCATGAATTTCGGAATCATTTCATGAGATCGGGAAGGGCAAGTTTCACAAAAAGGTGTATACGATGGTTACGAGGTTTTTAGATTCAAAAGCTGTGTGCATTTGTTCAAATATACGAGTCTAAATGAAAAAAATCAAATACATTAAAACCATTTTAAATAAAACATGGACCATTTCCTGGCGCGAATTCATAAAAGACCAAGTCACAATCCCACTGTCTAGTTTCTCACTAGTGCGCTGCCACTTTTTCAAAACACTTCATTTCATGCATTCGCGAATCATGCATAAACGGAACCATTTTTGAATTCATGAAATGAAGAACTCATGAATTCTATCGCATAAACGAAGTAATTGATAAACGAAAACATAAAAAAATTAATTTGCATAAACTTTCAGTATTTTCGAAACACTGTGGAAGCACTTAAATTTAAATAAGGTTGGGTTAGGTTAATCTGGGCGGCGTTGAGCCGCAAATAGACGGGTAGGCCCTGGCGTTGCCATTTGGAGCTCGTTTTTACGCGTTAAAGTACACATCACAAAAGACGTCAACGCGTTTTGCGAATTTAAGTAGAAATTTTAGCTCTACTTTTGAGATGTCCTCTAACTTCTCGAATTGGTAGGCTCCCAAGTATTTTAGTCGTGTTTTTGACAGTGCAGGACATCGGCAGTTTGTATAAAAATTTTCATACGTGAACTCGTCTCCTAAGAAAGCAGAATTATTAAAACTAGTATCGCCCAGTTGTCGAAATTCGACATCTTTTTTCATAGACTTTCGAATTTTACCTGTCACCAATAACTCCTTTAAGCGAATTTATCTTTTAAAGTCCACCAGCATAATTTAAACGGAATTTACAGGAGAACTTAAACTCGAATTGTGAACGTTAATATCGCATTGATTAATGCTAATTCTACCAAGTCTCCTCCAAATTTCTTGAGTAGCTTTTGAATTAGACCGAAAAAATAACCTCGATTTTCATTTATAAAAAATATGCATATGTATTTGTATGTATAGATGAGATGTTCATCACTGACTAATATGTCAAACATATACCAATTCCGACGGTAAATAAGTTTTTCGATTATATTTGTTTGAGAGCCTCTTGGAGATTAAAAACTAAATTGCCCACATCTACATAAACTCTTTCTTTTTTCATCAGAATCGTTAACGGTTGAGAAAGTATCTTGAAGGTTTACAACAAAAGATAACATTTCCTTCTCCAACGGCCGTTTCACACGGGTTTTTGTCAAGACTGGGCCAAAGGCCAATACTTTTTCATCACACGACCAGGCTACCAAGTTACACCAAATTTTTGTTACTAATATGTGTTCTAAAAGTGAGACAAATCTCATCATAAATATTATTGTTTAAGATAGCTCTCAATCCCTGCGCCAAATATCGGAAGACAAACACACTGATCCTTCTAAAAACTTTTGCACAAAACAACAATCATTCAATGCGATTTTAAAATCTGGGAAAAAATGGTTCCCAATTGAATGATTCTTGCGATTTTATATGTGTATAAATGTAGGTGTATAAAATTCCTTATAAAACGTGGTTCCAGAGATAACCGATATGAGAATTTCACTTTGTATGGGCGTTGCCACGCCCCCTTTTCCAAAATCTACCATATTCCGCCGTAAGTACGGTATTGACAACGTTGTTGCCGTGTCAAATTTCAGGACGTTAGCATAAGTGGTTCCAGAGAAAAGCGATATGAGAATTTCAGTTTGTATGGGCGGTGTCACGCCCCCTTTCCCATTATCTATCACTTTACGCCATAAGTACGTGATTCATATATTAAATAGCTAAATTTCTAAGAATTCGCTCTCAGATAAAAAATTTACAAAAAAAAGTACGTGAACGCTTTTCCAGTAATAATTTGCAAGTTTCATGAACAGCTGATAAATTGGTTGTTTATTCGCAGCATATTCCTAATAAAACAATATATTTTATATTTAAATATGTTTATTTTGTGAATTTCCACAATAAAATGCCACAAACAGTTTCCTTATTAGTTTAAATTTCATCCAGCAACATGCGATCAGCTGTTTTTCGTACTGGCAAATTCTTACAAGTAAAAATTTATCCAGTAAAATCCAGAAAAACTTGCAACTTCAGCTGTCATTTTTCGCTCTCTCAATTTCCCCTACTTTGCAAGTTTTTGCGTACGAAAACGCCAAAACATGAAAATTCGTAAAAACTTTTACTGCATTTTACTGGAAATGAGTAAAAAAACGCAACTATTGTAATTTCACTATCAGCCCAATTCTGAATACTCCCAGGGAGTTCACCCTGCGCCACTTACAAGTAGTGGGAAGGATTTACATTGCGGAGAAAGCTGCGTCGCATGAATAACGCTTCATGTGACGAAACATCAAGCGATGTAAAATCACGTGATAAATAGTCACACGTGAAAAAATCGCTTAAAAAATTTCCCCAAAAGAATTAAAAAAAATAAACCTGGTGTGTAGGGTTTAAATGGGCAAATATAAATTATGTAAAACTAATAGCGGATGATGGAAATCACGTGATGGAAATGTTTCCTCAGAAATTACAGTCGCGAAAATGTGCAAGAAGAACTAAACCTTCTAAAAAATTGCAAGAAAAAGCAGACTAAATACTAAAAAGAATTTTTCATTTCATCCCCTGGAGCCGCGATATCACTTGATGGGCTTTTCGCAAAAGATTTAATGAACATTTCGGTTGCCATACGCACCTTCAGCAACAGAAAATGGCATGCGATCTGATGTAAAAAGGCCATAACATCATAAGGAAATGAGAGCACATTGTGCCAAAATATTTGCCGGAATCACAAGAAAAGTTTCGAGTCTATGTTTCAGAACTGGAGTTACAAAAATCACATGAGAAGTCAAGAAATGATAAATAAAATTTAGTGCC